ATAAAAATATTAAAATAGTAGCAGTTTTATAATTCGTATGTCGTTATTATTTTCCCTAATATAAGGTAGAGTTATTATTGCGCTATATTTGCGTATATAAAATATAAAGTGTAAAGTGAGCTTAGAATAAACTTACGGTTGTCACTTTAGTTCAGTAGTCTTTGCACGTAGCGGTTGTTGCAATTGTCCTTGCAAGGATGTTGTGTTGTTGCGCGTAAACTAAATAATTAACAAGATGTATAATGATGTAAAGAAACCTTGTCCTATTATCAAATGCATCTTTAATGTTGATTTGATGCATACAGAGTAATATACAGTATATTATATGCAACGATGTGCACAATCTGTGAAATATAGTCGTTAAAATAACTGGTGTTTTTGTGTAGCCGTTCATACATTAGGATATTTTATAATGTATTTAGTACAATATTTCCATAACCAGTTAATAGCACCTCTTGCGTAGGTAACCAATGTTTTTTGTAGTTTTATTCGTTTTGTTCAGGTGTACAGTTTTATATCTATATTAATTTATTCATTCACTAGCTGTTCCCCGCGACTTCATCCACGTGGATTTATTTGACAAATATTGACATTAATATTTATACGATACTAAAGTCACTCAATTGTTTTGTCTTCCCGGAACTCCTCCACTCACACTTAAACTTTAAGGTATGGTATTAAAGTTCAAATTGACTTTTAAGTATTATTACGAATCTTTTGTATGGGAATGTAGAAAAGTGTTGTTTTTAGACTTTTTCGGGCAATTTTTAAACAAGGAATATTATAAAAAAAGAATTAGCGAAATCGGTTCAGCTGCTCTCGAGATTTGCGCTTAGTAACACATTCAGCGATTCATTTTATGGGGGATATTTGCCATAGATGGATAGATTTGGCAGGCAGATTAGCAACTATAGTTTTTTTAAATTATTATTGTATTGAGTGGTTATCAGGGAGATGCTGCTGCCCATCACCTGTTTCAGTTTTCCTCTGTGGCCTCATGCCCATGTACGGATGTACAGTAGTGAATTCTTTCTGCCGTCTTTAAATGGCAAATAGATGTATGCATAAGGTGGTATTTATAAAGCCATAATAAATTGTCTAGGAAGTTTTAAATTACTAGATAATTATAAATTCGCAGATAAATTGCTAAAAGCGCTTTTTGCTGCTTACCACATTAGAATTTTGCAAATAGTTCTTAAGTTTAAACTTAAGAATTTTCCGAAACCTACTAGTAATTATAACGCAGTATTTTCGGATACTAAAAAAATCAATAAATCAAAATTACTTAAATTTTATTTCGGAGTTAAACAGGCTTTTAAATAGGTCATTGGCAGTGGATTTAGAAGGGTAAATTCACAGTATATTAATACTCTCGGGCATTGGAATTTCGAAATGTATCTCAGAATTTACGTAACAAATAACTTAGGTACACCAGGAAGTGGTGAAACCGGCCCTAAGCGAGGCATTGATGAAACAGTGCTGGCAATAAACTATGTAGGTGTAGTTACTATAGCGATAAACTCAGATATTGCTTAGTTCCAGTTCTAATTATTTTAACTTGGTACTTGCAATAAAATTTACATTTATAAATAAACCTAAAGTATACTAACATTAGTTTAATTATAAAACAAAGTCCACTGGATATAATGTTTTGGTGCAGTTTTAAATATTACTTCAATTTTACTTCAGGTTTATTCGCAAATAATGTACTTCAGGAATTTCGGTTACGGCGGCCAGTTTCTATGGAAACTCAACGGAGACAAGATTATAGTGTACGAGTTAGTGTGTAAACTCTATTTCATCACCCTCATAGTCTGAGGGGATCATCAATAACCGCGCTTATGACGACTAGTCCAGCAAGGCAAACAAACTATGCACAAATAGTAAACCACTACCGAATATTATAAGCACGCATTTATTGGGACAGCTTATTCATTTAAGTTTAACACTTTCACTGTCCGGTTTTCAGACACAATAGTAAGACAATAGCAATGACCTATATGTAGTGCACGGGGCAGCGAAAGGGTTAAGTTAGGCAAGTTATTTCGAACAGCGTGGAATAGTTAGTCCGTCGAATTGTTCCGATTCGTGTTAGCGGACTTCACATGTTCTCGAAATATTTTTATTTCTCCGACGTGCTGGTTTTAGTTACGTTACGCCGTTTTTCTTCATCGCCCAGGACTTAGTAATTTAGCACTAGAAATAGCAATTTACAATTTCATTGCCAACGGGATCGATTTTTTTTAAATTGCACGCGTACTTTTTATTTTACGGCGGTCGCTTAGCTCATCTGCATAATTATGACCACAATTATATCATGATTTATTCATGTAACAATCACACATAATGCTTAGACATTGACGCGACAAATACGTCACAGAATAATAGCATGGGAAAAAAGAGTAAAAAATGTCTTATTGTTTTTCCATGCTAGAAAAAAACTGGTTTTAGTTAATTGATCCTTCATACTTCCTTATGATATATATATGACAGCAGATAAGGAAAAGCTTAGTCCGACGTCATACGCGAAGTGCAAAATTAAACACGTGTTGAACCGGCAACCAGCTGACCGTATATTATCAGAGTTCACAAGCGGCCCGCCTTCGGAACGGGCCTCGGCTGAGGTCACATATCAAGTTCAGACACTTGTTTTGATTCTAAACCAGTTGGTGCGATATATTCGCATATGTGTATGCCGATTTACGTAATAAATTAACATGTTTCCGCGGTTTCCCTATCAAACATTTGCAACTGACAAAAATGTGACTATTATAAGTAATGAACAAATTCATCGATTCTTAGGTTGCGTTAACCAAAACTATGCTCACCCTAGAACAGATTCTCAAAGTCGTAGCGGGATGGGTCAGTAGTCGTGGCTTCGTAACCAGCAGTAAACGATGAGGAACCCTCTTGGATAGCCCAAGGTGGCCGTTTTGAGTAGTCTTGATGAGCCCATTCCGGATTCGTGTTGGTCTAATGTGGCGGGAAGGGCGTCTGCTATCTCTGCCTGTCCCCGCCGCCAAAGAAGAGTGTGAGTATAGGGATGCGCTAATCACCCTATCTCCCGTGATTCTGGCAGGGCCATACCGCGGATTCGATGTTGGGAAGAGAAGAGTCGGTATTGTGGGTCTGCATCGCTCTCCATATTCTCGAACTTGGTCGACGCCGAAGCCACATATCAGATTCGTTTTTCCCGGCCTCATGGCCTCCGAATAGTAGAATCGGGTGGGGGAAATCCTCTTTAGACGAATAGGAGGGAAAGAGGATGTCCACTGCCTACATCGAATTGGGTAGTTGAAACCACGATTAATGTGTAACATCAACAAAAATCATATTATAATTTAAATTTGCTATTTTTATAAAATAAAAACAATTGTAAATTTTAATTAACAGGCATGAAGTCGATGGATGCATGGATGCATGTGATCGAGCTTTATGGCGTTCCTTGGGGACACACACATATATATATATATATATATATATATATATATATACATAAGTTATAAGTTAAAGTTAAATTTACAGCCTATATACGTCTCACTGCTGGGCACAGGCCTCCTCTCATTTTTGAGAGGGTTTTAGGGAAAGGAAATGTCCCAATGCGTGTTGGCGAACTTCACATGTCTTCGAAATATTTTTTTTCTTATTTCTCAGACATGCAGGTTTCCTCATGATATTTTCCTTCACCGCCAAGTACGTGGTAAATGAGCACTTAAAATTGCAATTAACAATTTCATTGGTGTCGGTGGTGATCGAACCCGGGTTGCTCACGTACTGTGAAACTTTCAGCTAGCGCTAATCATCTGAGCTACCACGGCTTATATAAGTTGTTTATTTTTGATTAAAGAAAAAATTTATGCTATTTAAGCGTAAAGTTTAAATTAGATTAATGCGGCGCATAAAACGTAACCCTCCCGCTGTGTTAATTTAATTGTGCAACAACTAGAACATTTCAATAAAAAAAACTAGAATGTTTCAATCTAGTATTGATATAAGATAGCTTATACCTTCGGTTAATTAAAAGTAAGAGTCAAAAGCAATATATAAATACTATTTAAGTAATTTCAAATTATTGTTTTTTATATAAATACTCCATAAACGAATGTCAATAATATACTGAAAAAAAGCGAATCAGCCAAAACTTGGAGTTATCCGTCACACAGTATTTTAAGGCATTTCTTATCGCGTGCAGTTTCTTTGGAACAACGAGTATATGAATAGAATAGAATGAAATGGAATGATTTATTATTAAATACTGTTTATTATATAATACTTATTGAAAGTCATTTCTTTATTTACCACTGGTTGTGAAAATATCTCTGTCCTGGGAAGAACCAGCCAGAAACTTTTCTCAAAGGACATTTTTTAAATCATATTATACGATTCAATTAACGATTTATGATTTGAGGGAGCTTTACGAAAAGAACTTACTTTCTTCTTAAAGGCCGGCACGCATCTGGAGTTTTTCGTAGAGTTTAGGATGTTAAAGGATGACAGTGGCTGTTATAATGATTTCTTATATTTACGCAAACACTACACATTGAATAAAAGTACTTTTACGGATTCTATCGCGTTTATGACAGTCCCCCGTGACCATGGGCGCTGTAAAGCACCCGAAACGTCGGAAATTAATAAAAAGTTAATTAAACGCGATAGAATCCGTAAAAGTAGTGGCTCATATGTTAATTCTTCTGTAAAAAACTTTCCGTATGGCTATGCTGCTCTGCTAACGACGCGCAGTCTACACCTGTTTACTTCTATGCTATTTTGTAATGTTTTTCGTTGATTAAGAAATTGACAGAAAATTTATGGAAATTATTGGAAATTGAAATTTAAGCACCAGTTTACTAGATTAATAACTTTCGTGACCGGTTTCCTTGTTACCAATATAGAAGGTGTGGTTGAAACGAGAAACAGATTTTCGTAATGTCCAAATGCTTGAGAAACCCTAAAGTGTTTTATAAATAATTATCATTGCAAAATAAATGGTTTGTTCACAGGTATTAGTCGTTTGCGGATGTGTCGCTCTCTCAACGGCACAGTTCGAACACTTTGGGGGTGGCTTCTCGGATGGATATTTCGGCACAAGCTTTGGAGGACCTAGCTATGGAGGCCTTTCAGCTGCGACTTCCAGGGACCCAAGAGCAAACAGAGGTAATATTGAACATACACACTACATGCCACACACATACATGAGCCTGATTTTAGTATTTATGATGCGAGCCATGCATTTTTCATATAAATAAAAGTGAAAAATGAGTACACAGTGTACCTGACGGTGATAGGATAGGTACTGTGGAAAAAATGCAGAAGCTTTGTTACCCTTGTGGACTAAGATATAAACATCTATATTATATATATAATTAATAGTCAAAAGAGTAATGAGTTTTCGTCAACCACTATACGAAAAAAGCAGCATTATGCTAATATTTTACGCTGATATTCTATAAGTTAAGTAACGGACTTATTTATGAACGAATGCTTTGTTTTATAAAAAGAAATTGAAAATACATAAAAAATTTTAAAACTTAGTAATTTAATGACTTCAGCCCATGAACGGGTTTTAGGAGGGAGTAGGTACATTTATTTAATACTATAACTACGGGACTTTCGTGATTTTTAAAATGCCAGTTACATTGTATTCTTTTTTTCTATATTGTTCTTTTATAAACAAATAACTCTATACCATTCATTGAATTATTCCTACAATATCACCGTGTACAATATGGCAGTGTAAGGCGATCGCCCAACTCCATATAATCGTCCGGTGGGTGTAGTAAGAGGCGACGGTGGAAATATGAAACAAGAGATGTACGGCAGTATTTTCTAAAAGCCACTGGAAGTAATAGAGAAAACTGTAGTCATTTACCCTGATATGTTGGCAAACATGGCAATTAGGGCAAAATCTTCTCTATAAGGCAATTTATAGGTTAGGCTTTTGTTCAGCAGTGGGCTTGATGGACTCTAATGAATGAACAAATAAAATTTGTACAATATACTTACTAAATGATATACCATTTAAGCAGCAATTGATAATGGTTCAGAGAGCTTTGTTCAGATCATTTGTTTAGTTTTTTATTAATTATTCACACATACATTATTATTTTAGATTTATCATTAATTCAATAATAAATCAATGATTTCCTCTTGCGATTATAATTGGAACATTCCGCGAGCAAGTATTGTACTAATTCTACTTGGAGTTTTTTTCTTTTTCATCATGTAAGCAAATTTGTTGCAAAGAATGTATCTCGAACAAAGACGCACTGCTAATACGAAGGAGAACGTATTCGGGCATTTTTTTCTTTTATTTTTTTCTATTATTATGTAACTATAATAGTATGTACATTTTATAATACTTTAGTCGTGTTATCAATTTTGTACATCTTGAACGCGAAGCAAGAAAGGTTGAGCTTCACTGTCTTACTACCCATTCTTCTTGAATTCGATATATTTTTTTTAAACTGCGCTAATACGCGAAGAAAAACATGTTAATATTAAACGGAAACACTAATAACTGAAACTGATGCTTTTATTTAAGTTTATGTAAGAGAATCTATCACCTCATTACGTCCCGTGGTCGTCGTAAGACGCGACTATGGAAAATGGCAGTACGAGCTTATGGCTTCCGATAGATCGTGGTGTAACCCTTTCGCTTATGTCAGATTTAAAGTACCAGACCCAGAACCGTGACAGAAAGTAGCACCAAATATGCGAGACTTCTGGTACTGTGATCATCAATACGCCTGCCAAGCGTGTCGAATAAGGTCACTATAAAGAGAGAAGAGACCCAGGTCCAACAGTCGGCTTTTACGTGGTAATGAATCAAAGAAAAAAAAAACTATAAGGTTTCAGGTAAATTTTACAAATCTGATATATGAAAATGCGCTATATGATAATATGATCTCGAAATATACTGTAATTAGATTAATTATGTTGATATCTCATCATAAGGTTTTAAATATCCTAAAAACAAAAAAAATATTTCGTTTCTTACTATATTTATATGTTAACATCTCTTCAAGTATTTCAAACAGACGCAGTTGAAATAACTAAGGTGACTGCACTTAAATTAGTCTTAAAAGCCTTATAATAGTTTGCAATGTATCCCCATTGTTAATAGTTTTGATGGAATAACTTATTTATTACAATTTTCTCTATACAAATGCTTTAAATAAGAGTAAATATGTACACAGCCTTATTTATTAAGTAGCATTATATACGACTTGAACAGTTTCGAAATTGACATTGTAGGCAACTGTTCAAGTAAATTATAATACAACCCATTATAATATAAAACGGTTAATGTCTCTATCAGAAACATTAAAAATATACCGCTGTTTGACCTTCATTGACCCAAACAACTGTTTCTGTATAATAGAATGTTAGTTGCACTGCGAAAATCAAACCCGGAATTCTTCGTTCTATGACAAGCATGACACTAAACAGCCTTCACTACTAGCAAAATTGTGCTCACAATCACCTTGTTAAAAATTTAAGTACTCTAAAACAATGTACCTACTATAAATATCATTGTTAACAACGCTACTAAAATTACAACGCGGTCACGTTTATTAGAATTCAGTGACATTAATTTCAATAGCTATAATATGGAGGTCATTTTATTTTATTTTTTGTTTTTTAAGTCAGTTTTCATTTTTTAAAAACCTATGTTGACGTCCTTAAGGGTGAAATTTTTTCTTCAAATTTATGTTGGACCACCCCTAAAGTATTAACCAATTTAACAAAAAATAATCATACAAAATCGGCTCTTCCACTACTGATAATTTGATGATACATTAAAAAATATAGTATGCGTCGAATATAGTAACTTATTGTTTTTGGAACTCGGTTAATAAGGATAAGCCCCACTGCAGGGCCCAGGCCTTCTCTCATTTCGGGGAGGGTTATGAAACAACAAATTCCCTGCGTTGTTTCAGTACGTTTTGACCGACTTCATTCATATGTCATTGAAATATTTTTACTCCTCAGACGGTTACCTCACGATGTTTTAATTTACCGCCGAGGACGTGATATACCTACTTAGACCTTGAATGGGTACGACTAATCGGTATTCATATATAGTATTTAAGTTTTGCGAATTTAGGAACGAATGCTTACAATTAATTAGAATTACAAACAAAATTTATTTAACCTGCCAGTTAATTTCAAAATGGCTGATACTGTAAAAGCTTAACTTTTTATATTTTAAGATACCCTATCAGCATTTCGATGAAGTAATGGCTAAGTTTATTACTTAATCATAATGTTAAGCCAAGGTGTGGAATGCCCTACCTATACTTTATAACTTGATCTTTAATTTTATCGATACGTTTTTTCATATGAAACTGGAAGACCAATAAAATTATCAATTACAAATTATAATTTTTATTTACTTATTTACTCTTTATTGTACATCGAAATACAGAATATGAATATCAAATATATATCCAATATACGAGTACAACACGCGGTCTTATCATTCAGAAAGTGTCCCTTTTCAGACACGGTTGTTTCAGACAACCTTTGCGTAGAGGACCGATGTATACAAAATATAGTATAGAAATTTATTATCATTATTAACAACATTTTAAAATAATATGCTCCTGAGTGGTGTTTATCAAATATAAAAATACGGAGTAGCTGACACAATATATAATTTGTATAATATTGAATTTCAAGTATTTTGCAAACAGTCTCAATAAAGATATATGAAAAATGAAATATGATGCTATAAATAATGCTAAAATATTAATCCACAGTAGAGACATTAAAAAGATCATGTATTTTAACATGAAAAAACACTTTAGTTGACGTGCAATTAATATAGAATCCTTGCAATCCTTGGTGTTACTGAGTTGAATATTATAATTTATTTCATTAATATATAATAAGTTAGACTTGATGTTCCAAATGCAAACATCGGTTCTTGGATTGAGAACCTGTTATGCTTACATAACAAAATGCAAATTGATCTGGCTGGTCGCATATTTAAACGGAAAAGGAGGTTGGCGGTTTTCAATTATCTAATTTATTCTATTCAATTTTGTTCCGTATATTGAAGGTATAATAAATAGAAAAGAATTATGACACTGTTGTTGATAGCTATCACAATAATATCTGTCACTATTAGGATGTTGTAAATAAATTATAGAATTACTAAAGACGCATAATTACTATATTATGCGTCATAGTACAAAAGTATAGTAAAAATAATTTTATTATTTAAACATTTTTTATATAATAAATAAAAATAAATTATAATGTATAGTCAGTTATATTTATATATTTCCAAAATGTATAGATTTATAAAAATACTCAGTACACTGATGTGGAAATAGGTGGAAGAACGCCTATATAGCTGGAAGAACCGACAACACATGTGAAAGAAAGATTCTCAACTGTCAGCCTCGTACTGGTAAGTATATGACCAATAAATAGGAGTTACGAACTGATAAGACATGCAGGAAGCCGATAGATGCAGGTAGTTCGGGACCGTATTTTGTGGCATTCCTTAGCTGTAATGATAGTGACTACAAAATATAATAAAAATTAAAACCTTTCATAAAAAAATTGGTAGCAAAGACCTAATTTTTTTTATATAGCAACGGCTGCAACCAGATGCACCTCCGTAACAAGAGGCGCTTCGAGCTATATGTTGCAACGAACTCTTGCTGTCTGTGCATATAACGACATTTTTATATTGGCTACTGATAACTTATGTCAAACCTTCCGAGCTTCCTGCGCACGCGCCGCTGGAGCTACGCGCGCGCGTCGCCGCACGCCGCGCTGCTCTCCCGCCTGCCCAACCCCGCCGACCCGCTCGCCTACGCAAGTTCCAAAGTCATACTATTATAGTACGAGTACTTATTTTAAAACAATGATGATTTTGATTTCGTATTATTTTTATATTAGGCACATAAAACGCAGACCCATGTCCTTCTATACTCTTCGACCTATCCGTAAATATAAAACTCCAGCCATTAAATACAATATAAATTATTAACGATAACTCAAAACTACTGGTCAGACCATGATCTCATATGTATGACACTACAAGAAAAGCACCAGCTTTCAAATAAAAAAAGAATTATCGAAATCGTTTAACCGTGAATAATGTTATGAGTTATGAGTTAACACACATAACAAACAAA